CCCCAAAACCCCAAAACCCCAAAACCCCAAAACCCCGTTATATTGGCCGTCGGTGGAAAGATTTTAGTAAAATGGAGAAGAGGGGACCCAGGGCTACATGTGCCTGCAGGTTTTAAAGCATATAGTAATTATTGTGTTATGGTGATCTATTTGAAAGAAAAGAGTTATTATTAATAAAGTATCAGACTATAGATTCTTCATGAAAAATTTCAAATCTTATCCAAAAATGGTTCTATAAATTTATTAAAGTTTAGAGCATTTTTAGAATTTCTTTACATTCTTTTGAGCCTCATGTTCTTATAACCCTTCCAATTCAGACAACCAGTTCATCTACACCAACCCTACAGAAGAAGGCATCAATGAGATTTGTGTCCAGATTAATGATAATAATAGCGTGAGTACCTTTCTCATATTTTGGGGATCGAAGCTTTATAGTTATTTCAAAATAGAGAAAGCACAAATATTAGTATTTACCATCATTTCACAGTAATTTAGACCCATTCAGATCTCCTTTGACGAAATTTATAAACAATGAGGAACCTTAGTGAGAGCTTTGGGCATCATACTGCATATTTTAGCTATATTATCACATTCTGCCATATGGAGGTTCATAAACGAATTGATAAGAGCCCAATACTCTAGCTATTATCTTTAAGCTATATTTACACATATTTTATGGGAATATTCGGCTAGATTCCTTAAATTTGTAGTAGCCTAAACTCTAGTTAGCTATGCAAAAATTTGGTTAAATAAATTGGCCTCTGATCTTGAGAGTAAAATTAAGCACAGATAGTATAGATATTTGATGATTATGACACTTTTGAGCAACAAAGAAGGTAAATTAAGGTAGTTGATAATTATCAGGAAAATTAAAATTAAAGCTAATAAGAATGGGAGTCAATGTTCTCACTGCTCTGGGGAGAAAAATGATAACAAAAGTAAGAACAGAGGTTCTATGAACAATAATTGTAAAGAATTAAAAAGGGAATCAAAGAAAGTATAGCTCATTATCATAAAACTCAAACGGAGCCTTTAGAGAGAGAAAAGAAACTTACTTCTAGAGAGTTGTTAGAAATCTCTCAATTTGCATCACCAATTTCAAATGATAATGGTTATCCTCTCACAACTACTCTTGGACATCATTTAAAAGAAGAGAAACTTAAAAAGTTTACTCTTCCGCTTATCCGTAGGCTTCTGCCAAAATTTAAGAACCAAAGCAATGATGGAATTCATTCTAAAAAGTTTCAAAACAGCATTCTTCAAACGAGCTTATCAAAATCCTTAATTGATGCTTCTATCAATCAATACTCTCTTATTGCGAATAAGCATTGCTCTTTCAATGAAGTATACTTGAAAGAGGGTAGCTCTCCTGAGATGACAAATGAAAAGGAAGATCAAACTTCAAAGTCTTTATCCCCAATGAGGGATCCTTCAAGCAACATTCACAGGAAAATATGAAAATCCAGCTCAATTAACAAATTCCTTCAGAGCAAGAAGAAAGTTGTAGTCCAGGATTACTCAAGCCATCCAAATTTTGACGAACAAAATCAAAATTTTGAGTATAAAAACCAGGATATCTTATTCGAAGTGAATTATAAATGAAAACCTGACAACAAGAAGTCAAAGTCTAGTAAGAGGTACTTCAAGAAAAATAAATAAGGTCAAAATGTTTCTTAGAAAGGAGCTTGATAAAGGCAAATACACAGCTGTGCAGTGCAAGCAAGTAGAGATGCCAGAGACTATTAGAGATCAGAACCAGAGGTATTACTCGTCAAATAAGTACTTCACTGTTGGTGTTAGAGATAAGAAAGCGCCCAGGATTGCGATTAGTAAAAGTTTTGATCAATTCATGCCTACTCATGTTAGTAAACTCAATCGGAAGAAGTTGAGTAAGGGCAATTCTATCTCTTACACTTATATGAAACACTTGGCTCACCACAAAGGTATGGTAAATACTTCACTTGAAGATAACCCAGAAGTTAATGTGAGCAGACGCCAAGACGAAGGAATAGAGTGTCTTAAATCCCCCTTTATTCATCAAGTATTCAGGGTAAAACTTTCAAACATTTCTTCTAAGAACAAGAATGATAATGCAGTGAAATATAAGTTATCCAAGAGTTTACTAAGAAAGGTAGTTCCAAAGTGAGATATATGTTAAAATTTAGAGTCAAATCAAGAGGAAAGAGAAAGGCTCAGGGCATCAAAATACCAATGAAGATCACAAAAGACATAGAGTGTGTAACTGGTAAGAAGTTGGAACGCTATAAATAAGAGACAGGAAACTATTGTATCTCAATATTTGCTTCGCATCAAATTCAAAGAATCAGCTCTCTAAAAATCCCTTGAAGTCAAGAGGAGATTTCTGCTTCTTAAGTGGGACAAAGTTCCCGATTCGATCTCAGGGATAGTGTGAGTTTTCTGGCCTTAACCATATACCTACACAACGATTTTGAGATCAGATATTCCAACTCTCAGGCACTATTCTGGCTTCTTGTGCGGGGTTTTTATTGGAATTTTTTTGTTCTTGAGTGATCCTAGGAGGGCCAAAGGAGGTGTGGGGTGGCTGGATGGAGAGGAATTTGGGGATTTGGGGATTTGGGAATTTGGGAATTTGGGAATTTGGAGGAAATTAAGGGTTTGAGGGGGGATTTGGAGGTAGTGTAGGGAGATGGGTGTCGAGTGGAAGGGGTAGGGTTAAATGTGATGAGCAAGGTGTGCTGATGGGGGGTTGGATGGGTTTGGAGGAGGCCAGGAGAGGTAGGGAGGTAGAGTGGCAGCGTTTAATATTTACACCTTCTTGACTCCTTTGAATAGGCCAATCAAAAATTGACAATAACGGGCCTCTAAAAATCATCTTTTCCCTGACATTAAGGAAGTAGATTCTTCATATACTTTTGAAAACTAGCCCTGGTTAGTGAATCAGAGCACATTGAGGACGATCAGTGATGAAATTTGGTTATAAACTCTAGGTTATTTTTCATTGACCCTCCCTATTTCTTTTTATTGAGCATCGTATAAGACTTCTAGCACATATTTTAACATTTTTGAAAAGTTAGGTGAAATCTAACTTCCAAGAATAAAAAATCTTTAAAAAATCTTTTTTTAATTTCAAACCTTCGTTCTTATCCCGGGGTTTTGGGGTTTTGGGGTTTTGGGG